AGCAAGAGGTGGGCCTGGCATACGGGCTCGACGATGTCGAGGCCTTCCTGGCTTACCAGGCCAAGGGGGGCACCTGTAAGGGGCTTTTTAGGATTTCAAGATATTTGCAGGATTCTTGGAGGTGCCGGCAGACTGTGGCTCGAAATGGGTTCCTGCAAGAGTTATTTCGAGGGCTGTTGCAAGGGTGACTGCAAGGGCTACGATCGGCTTTAGGATTTAGTGGGTGAGGTGTGGGAGTTGGGTGAACGTTTAGGATTCAGGCCATGGGTTCGCACAGTGCATTGCAATCCCTGCTCAAAACAGTGTGGAGTACCAAATGTGAGGCTGGAGCTTAGATGGATTACCTGTTCAATACCGGGCGCAGGATCAGATGCAGGTCGCTTCAAGCTAAAATGAACCCGCTGCAGAAGTGTTCTGCCAGAAAAGAACAGCCACTCAACTCTGCCCCTCGAGTGGGTCGAAGCCACAACTTCTTGTGTGGCTTCTGCAACAGCATGGGGACCAGGAAGGTGGAATTGAGCAATGATGTGAGAGGGTCGGGGGGATGAGCAATGGGTGGAGACGGGTGAGTTGAGCTGCAGAACGGTGACATTGCCACTTCCGCGGAGTTCGCATGCATTGATTATCTATGATCAAGAACCTTGTTTCAGATTGTTGCATGCATTTCTGGTTCTAGCGAGTCTGACAAGAAAAAGGACATCATGAGCTGCAAACCAGGCCGCAGATGAGAAGGTGGCGAACCTTTGAGCTTCCACGTTGGTCCAGCTGCGACTCTTCAATCTGAACTTGGGTTCGTTGAAGAAGCCCAGGGTTTAGGGTTTAAAGGGGTTCAGGGTTTAGGGCTGGATATCTGTGTGCTTTGAGAAGCACAGCCTGTAGAGGGACAGCTGGGCCTGGAAGCGCCAAATAATTCTGTAGCCTGAAGCTCAATGAAGCTCATAGGGAGCTATGGAGGCGACGTCCGCCAAGCTAACTCAAAGCAGACATGCTGATACGCGCTAGCGTTTATTTAGGTTCGAGCGCCGTGTGCACACCTACATAATCGTTGTCTGGGCAGCAGGAAATGGATCGAAAGCACGCGTTCACGGAACCCAGTTGCTAAGAGATCAGGAGTAACTAAAGGGCTTGGCCCGAACCTACTATATAACAGCGATGTCAACAATGGCAGCCAGGTAGATAGCCAGCAGACGCCTCAATGGCATTAGCACCAGCAAAATTGCTGCGGTACGAGCGTGTTCTCTCTCTTTGGTGGTGTTGTTTTGGTACGTCACCACGTTGTAGCATGTGCATGGTTCGCAGCAGTCATTGAAGAAGTAGCAGTGCTCAGCAGATTGATTTCCCAAGGACAAGACCGGGGTAGAAGCGGCTTCGCCTCCTTACATCTCTTTACCGTTCCAGCGTCGACGAGAATCCTTCATGTCCAAACTCCATCATACTCTGATCGTGAGGAAGTCTCGTCGCGTGAATTTTGAGTTTTGTGTGGAGTCTCACATTTCAACACGTATAGCAGATCGTTTAGATTGTCAGCGGTCCGTCATGTGCGATGCCGCTTCGCACAGATGACATATCAATGTACGCGTTTGGGTCGTCACTTTCTGGATCTTTCTGGCAATGTTGGTGGTTCACGAAGCCATCCCACGGACCTCTGTGGTACAATTACGCAGCCTGGAGAGCTACGGGAGTGCTCTGGCTGAGTTCTGTTGTGGAGTTTCGTTCCTGTGGTTGATAAATGCTGTTCGATGTCTATACTGCGTCAAGGACTAGCGTTCAATGTGGCACATACTGTACTGTGTAGCACAAGTGACGTTCTAAGTGTGCAACTTCCTGCATGTATTGTGCAACGGAGCCGCAGCCGGCACAGCGCGTGCTATGACGACGAGAGCAAGGAGCCTCCCTCGGAGACTTGTCTAGATGCTTTTAAGATGAACCAGAATCGGAATGCCCTTGTCCTCTTGGGCTCCATCAAAGGGAACACAGAATGTCGAGAGCTGGGTGCTGTCGGGACAGAGATAATAGCTACTCGCAGCTTCGAATGCCCAACGGGGTTGATGTAGGCACAAGTTTAGATTGCAGCTCCTCTGTGTTACCTTGGTAACTGGGCCTTTGCGATGCCAAAGATCTGCATTGAGCCCATGGAGACAGTTTGTGGCGTTCAACGTGTCATCTGCCGGAAGTCCGACACCCCTCAGGTGCCTTCAGAATTTCGGAAGCTCCCCGGAATCGGCTACGCCTTCCGGGGCCTAGACTTAATAACAAATGATTCCGGAGATGACCGTGGCACTGTACAACGAACCAGTCGCGGGTCGGAAGCGTACACTGAGAGACAGTGTGCCGGCTTTTTTCGGGCAGTTCCCGTGGCTTGCTGCTGCAGGGCACCCTTCCCGGGACTGAGGGGTCCAGCTCGCCTGAGGTCGCGGTTCCACAACTCGGACGTGACCTGCAGAAGCGACTGCAGGAAATTAGAGGAGTTTTGAGAGATTCTCCCGTTGCAGCACGGAAGCATGTGATTCTTTGCTTGTTTCACCTTACAAATCACCCCAGTTTTGTGGATGTCCGCATGGGCGCATGCACCTGGACCAGAGATTGCTCCAATCACACTCACAAACAGCCCAACTTTCACTCATCCCCGACGTCTAATCTTCGCGGAGGGCAGGTGCTCAGTTCCAGGTGCTGGGCTTTCAATGGACGGAAGCGCCGAAACCAAGGAAATCCGAGCGTTGCTTTGGGATGCGAAGTAGGTTTGGAGGCTGCGCGGGGATATACCGGAGTTCGTAGCAAGCCATGCAGGGTGCAGGCGTCCCTGGCTTTGTTCGACTGTGTTCAGTTCAACAAGCGTCGGTTGAGACTCGCAGAACTCTCGCTGAAGGTTTATTTGGGTTGTTTGTCATTTTCAGATTGAAGGTGCGGTCGTGTCGACCACCGTCTGCAGCTTTGGCTAAGGGCTTTGATTTGCTCCAGATGTCACGAGGCTCTTGGCCCATGACAGGAAGCATAAACTCAGATCTGCAGTTCCTTCTTACAAGCCCTTGAGGAACCAGGTTGATGTGCCTTCCTTGCAACTCATTCCCAAGGTTGGCGGTTTTGTTGTTACAGGGCTTCTCCTGCCGACTGCTGTGAGCCATGGCCCCACTGCAGACTTCGCTGACCCAGCAGCTGTTGAGGCACGGCTTCTCTGAGTAGAGGGACCCAGGAGTCAAAAGAGGTGTAGCTATAAGCCGAACGGCTAGTCCCTGCCCCTGCCGGAGAGCATCAATGACTCGTGTTCCATTCCGCAGTGGTTCCTCTACAGGCATTACCGAGATCTGGGTAGCCAGCAGGTGCTTCAAGACGAGACATATCAATGCCGTATCCCTGGCTCTAATTCCAACACGTTGCAGTCAGTCGGTAGGACCGGACGATGGCATTTTGCCCTTTACTCGAAGCTTGCTGCACATGGAGCAGTTAACAGGCTTCAGCTCTGCCCGCGTCCCGCCGCAAGGCCTGCGCACCTGCTACTGCTGTGGGGCAGCTTCCTACTTTCGGCAGCTGCCCCTCCACTGCCTGTAATGTAGTTTTCTCAGTGCATGAATTTCCGGGCTGCCAGAGCCCGGAGAGTGCGAACTGTCTTCCAAGAACTTGTGGTGAGTCGCCACTCTCACGTCAGACCTTGAGCTGGTCAAAGACGCTCAACGAAGTTTGCACTCCGGCAGAGACCGAACAGGCTGACAGGTCCCGAAATCCTCCACTTCCTATGTGAAGCTTAAACCGGATCCGATAAGCCCATGCTTAGTTACCCGAAGTCCTGACTTCTTCCATGAGTTTCAGTTAAGCCTCTGGGCTCTGATGTTAGCATGCTGTAGGCAAGCCTTCTGTTGCTCTGGATGCTACAACGAAGAATCAGCAGCTGGGGATAGCCGCGCGAACAGGAAACACACAATTTACCTCTTGAGCCGGACCGACAATGGTTGAGATCCACCCCATCCTGATTCTTAAAATAGACTCTTAAACTAAGAAGTCAAGCCACGCATGGAACGCTGCAACAGCACAACACCCTCGTACGCATACACGGCGAATCTGGAACGCCTCCCAACCCGAGGAATCTTCATTTTCTGGCGTTTGGTACCTCGTTGATGTCAATTCCGTCGTCTGCCCTGGCTCCCAAGGACCGCGCGAGCAAATTTGCCTCGGTTCAGGTTTTTAATTGGGGACTGGTTGCCGAATTACCAAAGCACAGTGCCAGTACTGGGGGCAGTAGTGGTAGCATCTGCTAGCAGTCGCATTTGTACTTGTAGTTGCGCCGCTGCTACCACCACGGACACCACCGCCACAACCACCGCCGCCACCACACTCAGCCCCACCGAAGACGACGAATACTACTGCTACTGGTACTGTCACTGCCGCCGCTACTGCTACTCGCCACTACCACTGCCACAGCCACTGCGACGGCGACTGCTACTGCTACTGTACTCCTATTGCTACTCCCGGACTACTCCCTTTGCTGTTTACTACTCCGACTCCGATCCTACTACTCCTGCTCCTACTCCCACTACACCTGCGTGCTGCTGCTACTGCTGCTGCTACCGCTGCTGCTACTGCTGCTGCTGCTACTACTACTCCTACTCCTGCTCCTGCTCCTACTCCTACTCCTACTCCTACTCCTACTCCTACTACTACTACTACTACTACTACTACTGCTACTACTACTACGACTACTACAACTGCTACTACTTCACGGCCGCTGCTGCTGCTGCTAGCACCAGGACTTTGACGCTCTTTGTTGCGGCTGCGGGACTTGTGAAGTCTTAGAGAGCAGTCAAGGGTGTGTTCTGGTGGAGCCTGCAGGGGAGGGACCCTTGTGAAAAACACGGATGATATAGTGGCAACAGCTAAAGCTGCTAGCACACTAGGAGCAACACCAAGCATCACCAGGTCGCGCTTACTAGTACCGAATGACATCACCTATCCATCATGGGAAGTCTTTGTTTTTGGTCAACTGCTGGCGAGGCTATGCAGTCATCAACATGACAGAGCCCACAGACACTCGGCTGGCTTCAGTTCTTTTCCTACCTACCAAGACAGCATCGACTAAGCGGTGTGCATGAGCTTTGTGCTTCCCGCAGGCTGGAAGGCCTGAATGCTACACACCCATAGTCTTTCAGTTAGCGAGGTTCAGTGGAAAGCAGAATATTCCTCAAGCTCCCATACGTTGTAGCTAGATACGGGGCCCATAATGGGTATCCGAGTACCACGTGTCTCAGAATACAATCCTGGCACAGAATTTCTTGTCATCCCGACCTATGCTATGGATACTCCCTGATTTGGGGACTAAGGCATTTCGTTGTTTGTGTTTGTCAATGTCACGATATACACTGCCAACACTGTTGTAGTAGTCGTCGTCGCGCAGTAGGGGGAGTTGGAGTACGAGTCGGAGCGGTAGCAGCAGCAGCAGCAGCAGTAGTAGAGTAGTAG